AAATGAAATCTAAGTTCATCTTTCCATATTTGACAATGGCTGGGAATTTCCATGGAAAAAAAGTTGTGTTTTACCCACGTTATGTTCTTTGTATTTAAAATTATTTCTTTTTAAGGTATAGGCTATCTTTCAAAAGTCATCGTCATCTCAAAATAATTGAACTTTTGACAGTACACTTCTATAACTGAGTTCTATAATGCAGAACTCAACTAAACTAGACTATGCTTAATTCCTATGAGTAACATTAAGATAGCATGGGAATAAAAATAAATAATTCAATCTCCACAGCCTGCTGTGTCTTTCAGTTAGAACATGGCTGATATGTATTTTAACTTTATTTATTTGGTTCTATATCCTTTAATATTTTTATCTAACAAAAAAACTGTCATAAGTTATAAAACTTTTAGTTGACCTAGCTTGACATCTTTTGGGGCAGAGAATTCCAGGTTTCTACTACTCTTTGGTTGAAGAGTTGCACCCTGACATTTTTGAACAGCTCAGTTATAATTCCAAATTAATCCTTCCATGTTCTGCACTCTGCCACTACAGTAAATGGTATCTCTTTCTGTAGCCTACTGAATCTTTCACACTTTTGAATATCTCAATTAGATCATCCTTTATACTCAGAGAAATATAAGCTCAGTCTATGCAACCTGTCTTGTAGTTTAACCCTTTTAGTCCCAGTATTATTCTGGTGAAATTACACTGCACTACCTTCAAAACATATATACCCTTCAAGAAGCACAGTATTCAGAACCAAACAAAGTATGCCAAATTTAACCTAACCTAAGCCATAGAAAATCATGGAATAGCTTCCACATTTTATATTCTGTTCTTATTGAAATATAGGATTAATCTTCATTATCCCTTTGATATTTTGTGGCATCCAGTACTTTTAGTTATTTCTATGCATGCCCTCCTAAATTGCTTTCCAGTCCACAACCCAAATATTTTCAATATTATTCTTTAACATCCATTGCATGTGTCTTGGATCACAGCATGTATCCAAACGGTTCTTTTCATATTCGGTTAAACATAATTAAGAGAAGGCTTGACAACAGCAATTTGCTTAAATATGAATGTTTATTCAGTAAGAATAACGATTATAATGCTAATAATAAATTATTATAGTGGTAATAATAAATGGAAGAGAAAAAGAAAAAAAAAAGCAACAAGTCTCACGCCTTTCTAGAAAAAGCAATAAGTCTCATGTTCTTCTGCCTTTTGGGGACTTCCGAATCGATGGCCAGCCTGGAGGCTTAGGTTCTTTTCTGGCACGGTTCACAATCCCGGTATGAGGTGAAATCCAGCAACCTTGGAATGAAACTCTCTCTCTTTCTCGTTCAATATCACAAACAACCAGTAAACAGCAGATACAACAGATGAAACTGCTGGCTTGTACAGAAACAAGTTTTTTGATTGTTCTGTCTGCAGCACGTATGGGAATGTTCACAGGGCTCATTCAAGGTCATGCAGCTTATCGAGTATCATCATTAATTTTTAGTCTTTTGGCCTATCCTATACAGTAGGAGTGTAGGCTTGATCTAAGACTGAGGGGGAACTGTATGGGTTCCTTGGTCTAGCTGGTTACTAAAGAAGTTTTGTGCAAGGTTGTGCACAGTTGGCTGCCCCACTCCACGATTTGCTGGGAAAATCAAAGGATGCTATAATTTGGAAAAAGACGTATGAGGCATGTTTCATAGGGAGTTAGACCCCACCATAAGAGTCCTGGAACCCTAACACACCCAGGCACCCATGTGGGTTATCCGCCACAGAGCCTGGATCGTTCGGAAGTACTAGTACAGATAAGAGGCAGTGAAGGTAGTCAAGCTATTGCTAGCTAACCCCTTACCATTTACCTTGATCGGTGGTACAAGAAGAAAATGTTGCCATTAATGCAGACTCAAATGTTTTAGCTGTCATTGTACAATTGAACTCGCTAATCATATAACTGCTTAGCACAAGATTTCTGTGTGCTATATGCAGTTGCCAGGACAGCATTTTTCAATCATCAACCTCCAGCACTAGGTTGCAATGGTGATGGGGTCACTGAACAAAGAACCTGAGCACTTCTCTGGGTGATTGTGAAGAAGGGCAGCTGGAACAGTCAAAGAGACTTTCATTGGAAAAGAGTGCCTTTGGTGGAAAGTGGTCTGACCATTGTCTTTGCTTGGCTTCATTTTGGGTATGAGAGGAGAATCCAGGAGCTCGAACAGTTCATACACTTCACTAACACCTTCCACCCCAACCTTAAGTTTACCTGGACCATCTCTAACACCTCTCTCCCCTTCCTGGACCTCTCTGTCTCCATATCGGGCAACCACCTAGAAACCGATATTCATTTCAAGCCCACCGACTCCCACAGCTACCTAGAATACTCCTCCTCCCACCCACCTTCCTGCAAAAATGCTATCCCCTATTCCCAATTCCTTCGCCTCCGCCGCATCTGCTCCCAGGATGAGGCATTCCACTCCCGTACATCTCAGTTGTCCTTGTTTTTCAAGGACCGTAACTTCTCCTCCTCGGTGGTCGAGAATGCCCTCAACCGTGTCTCCCACATCTCCCGCACCTCATCCCTCACACCCCGTCCACGCAATAAGAACCAAAAAAGAATCCCCCTCGTCCTCACGTACCACCCCACCAACCTCCGGATCCAACGCATCATCCTCCGACACTTCCGCCATCTGCAATCCGACCCCACCACCAAAGACATCTTTCCCTCCCCACCTTTATCTGCTTTCCGGAGGGACAACTCTCTCCGTGACTCCCTTGTCCGCTCCACACTCCCCTCCAGCTCCACCACACCCGGCACTTTTCCCTGCAACCGCAGGAAGTGCTACACCTGCCCCCATACCTCCTCCCTCACCCCCATCCCAGGCCCCAAGAAGACTTTCCACATCAAGCAGATGTTCACCTGCACATCTGCCAATGTGGTATACTGCATCCGCTGTACCCGGTGTGGCTTCCTCTACATCGGGGAAACCAAGCGGAGGCTCGGGGACCGCTTTGCAGAACACCTACGCTCGGTTCGCAATAAACAACTGCACCTCCCAGTCGCGAACCATTTCAACTCCCCCTCCCATTCCTCAGACGACATGTCCATCCTGGGCCTCCTGCAGTGCCACAACGATGCCACCCGAAGGTTGCAGGAACAGCAACTCATATTCCGCTTGGGAACCCTGCAGCCCAATGGTATCAATGTGGATTTCACAAGCTTCAAAATCTCCCCTCCCCCTACCGCATCCCAAAACCAGTCCAGCTCGTCCCCGCCTCCCTAACCTGTTCTTCCTCCCACCTATCCCCTCCTCCCACCTCAAGCCGCACCTCCATCTCCTACCGACCAACCTCATCCCGCCCCCTTGACCTGTCCGTCCTCCCTGGACTGA